TGCGGTGCCAGGGTACTTCGCCTTGCCAAGAGATAAAAGTCATCCTCAACTATCCCCCACACCCAGTGCTGAAACGCGTCAAGTGTTAAATTGAGTGGCAGCCCGATCCTCAAACCAGTTAAACAGGAGCCCTTGGATTTAAGCCGGCTTAGTCCTATTGAGTGAGAGCTAAGCCCTGGAGAGGCCCAGGAAGCCGAGAGGGGCGATGCAATAGCCAGGGCTCCATCCTGCTCCGCCCTGGATTAAAAACCTCGGGATTTGAATTTTATTAAGGGGTGGGGGGATTGCCTGCAGGGCTCGAGATCCTCAGGGGTCTGCGCAGAGGCAGGAACTGTGGGGAGCGGTGAGTTTAAGGGGCATGTGGGCGAAGGGAAGCTGATGTAGCTACGGGAAGGGAGAGGGGAAAATCAGGCGGAGTCGGAGACCAGAATCCGGGTGGGGGAGAGGGGAGGGCTGGGAGAGAAGCGGGGCGTAGAGAGTGGTTCGCGGGGGGGGGGGGGGCGAGCGCTCTCTTCCATGGATTTCTGTAGATTGGTGTAAGGGGGGTTGTTGGAGGTGCGGGGGTCGCCCCCTCTTTGCGGAGTTGGGAAATGACGGCCTCGCTCTCCGGGAGAGGTGGGGTGGTGCTTCTCTGAGGCCTGTGCTATGGAGCCGCTTCGCTTCCTTTGTCCGGCGCCGCTAGTTCGTCGCAAGCCCTCCGCCCGCGCTCGGTTGCAGCAGCAGAGCAAGTCCGAGCAGGCTTCGTGGACGCATTCAATTAAGCAAGAATAGAAAGGGTGACATTGCGCTCTTCCTGCCTTCTCTTAGGACGAAAAGCAAAAATAAGCCCCAAAGTTGGCGCTCGTTTGTGGAGTAGGGAGAAAGGAGGGACCTTCTCTTTGCCTCTTTAACCCTGAATGGAAACTGCTCCCAGCGGGAAGTGCGGGATTCCTAAACGGAGGTTTCTTTCCCCAGCCCCCCGGGCACGCGCTCCCGGTTTGCTCTCGGATAGTTCTCTCCCCCACCCCCCGCTTTCTCTCTGTTCCCCACTTCCAGCCAGTCACTGAAGATGGGGCGGGGGGAGGAGGCGAGTCCATCAGACTTTGTTGGGGGGGAAGGCGGGAAATCGCCGGGCCAAATGTTGCACGCACGCAGACGCTTAACGCTTGGCAAGCCGCGGGCTTCCTAATGCCAACCGTGGGGCTCGAGATAGCGATCGGGGCAGTGGGGGAACTCCAGCGGGTCCCGCTGCCTCGGGCGGATGGAGGGGCAGGGACTGGGCCGGAGAGAGAAGGGCGGGCGGGCGAGCTCCGAGCTCCTGCTGCTGTGTTGAAACGCATTTAACTCCTGAGCCGATTAAGGAATCTGACTGCTTACCCTGCTCCTGGTCTCTCAGACAATAACACCTCTGTTTTCCTGCTGCTCCGCTCTTACGCCTTGGGGGCGACTTTATCTGACAAAGCAAGAGCAAAAATCCCGAGTGAAGCGGCAGCCCTGCTGCAGAAGTATTCAGGCAGGCAACAGTCCTGATCGCTTGTTCCTCACTCGATGTCTGGGACTGATAAACTGTCCCAGCACAGCCATCCAGGAAATTTGGTGGCTGGTTCTGCTGTCAAAGAATTATGTCCACCCACCTCCCCCGCCATGTGTGCCGTTGGGTAGGTAAAATGCCCTTCTGTGCATTCATGTGGCAAACACTTTTGCTGCCCCCAGAAAATAGCAAAATAATTTGTTGCTAATAGCGAAATGGCAAAAATAATTAAAAGTAATAGCCTTAACGTATCGCCGGGCTCAATAAAGCCGCAGATGGCCACGCCCCCTTTCCCTGACTCCGCCCCCTTTTGTGTTGTAATGCCCTTTCTTTTTCTGTTCTTAAAAGGCTGATTTTTTTTCACCTAAAGTTTAATCGCTGGCAGTAAGAGCTTTAAGCTAAAACGGACTGGCATTTATTTGGCCTCCCCCACCTTTGGCCCTGCCCGCCACTGGAATGTGGTCCCAAGAAGCTCCCCGGCATGGAATTTGGCCCTCTGGCTGAAAGAAGGTTTGACATGCCACCTCTGCTGGGACTGGCAGCAGAGCTGTCCAGCGACTCAGGGAGTTCAGAGCCTTTCCATTCACCAGCCACCTTTGCGCTTTTTAACCAGGAATGTTAAACCTGGACCCATCAGCATGCAAAACCAATCACAGCAAGGAAGGCAAGTAGCAGAGGCGCACCTGTCTGGATAGCACCAAATAAACAGGCACTGTGGTGTGACCTGTGTGCAAAATATACACTTCATGTAGTCCCTTCCCTTCGGAGTCTCTTCCCTTGAGTGCCAGGGTGTTCCCCCTCACGGTTGCACAGGGCCAACTCTCCGCTGTCTGGAGCTGGGAGAATGAAACTTCCACGTGGTTGGCTCTGGCTTCTGGAATGACGTCCCTGTCTCTGCTTCCACAATACCCCTTAATTTCTTTAATGCACTGAATACCACCATCACTCCAAAATTAACAATTATTCCCAGGAGCACCCTGTTCATTCATTCACCCAACCTCACCTTGCCTCCATCCAGGGGTTAGGAACTTATGTTAGAACATGCATTTGGGAGTAAAATTTTTAGCACTCTCTGTTTCTGTACAAATATGGTTGGAAATAATGCACCATGGAAGACATTTTGCAGTCCCTGCCCTCCACTCTCAAATCAAGGTCAAAGATGCCACAGTATTTTGATTCCAAGGCAGAAAATGACACAAGTCCCTCTCCCTGGGAGTAACAATCATTTAAAATTATGAACAATGTGCTGCCCTCCAGGGGCACTCAGAATCAGCCTCCTAGGTCGTCTTCCTCAATCCGCCTAATGGTAGGGATGGTCCCGAGCTCCTACAAAACTCTGTTCAGCGCTTCTGAGACCCAAGAGCTGTTCACAGGAACATGGCTGACGTTGTTCCATCCCTACAGCAAAGAACATCCTGGTCTGGCTAGGACTTTTGATGCAAGACTGCTCTGAGACTGTCTCCAATTCTCTCTGAGAAGTGTGGAGGAAAGGTGAATGCAGATGCAATCCATGAGTAACGGACCAGACAGAAACATGGACTCCCAACTCCTACAAGAGAAATGCAATGATTGGAAAAATTAATAAAACCCAGAAACATCCTTCACTTTTAGCACAAAAGCAAGAGTCCTGGGCAGAGCAGGGTTGATCCGTCAAAATGAACAATGCTAGTTTAGGCAAAAACCATCTCTCATCACATCATGTTGATTTAGAGCCTAAATATAATTATTTCTTCTCTCTCTGCCCACCCCCTGCCCAATTCTATGTATTTTCTAAAGTTAAACATCTTTATATAACAATGGCAGTATATTTCTGTTGCTCTTATGATTCATACAGTCAGTGGCTGTATTTTCTGTTGCTATAGCAAAACTAGCTTCATTTGCCACACTTTTGCCACTACATCATGTACTTCAGCTTTGCTCGGTTACACATGGTGTGCCTGTACATGCGTGGTGCCTGCCATGTATCTGGTGCTGCTGTGGCTTAGAGATTCTGCCTATCAAGAGAAGTTTATATGAAGTTAACTTTATAGGGTGGCTGAAACCAAGAAGGATTGTGAGGAGATCCAGAGGGATCTCTCCGAGTTGGGATAATGGGCATCAAACAGGTAAACAGCACAGAGTAATGAATGCCGGGGCAAAAAAATCCTAACTTCAAGTATACGCTGATGGAATCTGAACTAAGCAGTGACTGAGAAAGAAAAGGATCTTGGGGTGGTAGTGGACAACTCAGTGAGAAGTCAGCTCATTTTGCAGCTGCTGGAAAGAAGGCAAACTTGATGCTAGGCATAGTTAGGAACAGAATACAAAACAGAACTGCCAAAATTTTACTTCCCTTAATCAAATCTTTGGTGTGACTTCACTTGAATATTGTGCTCAGTTCTGGTCACCTGCCTGTAAAAGGAGACTATTGATCTGGAAGAAGGAGGGCAACAAAAAAAATCAGGATGCTAGAGCAGCTCCCTTACAAGGAGCGGCTGCAACAACCGGGGCTGTTCAGCTTAGGAAAAAAGGCAAGTAAGGAGAGACTTGATAGAGGGGTTTAAAATAATGCACAGTGTGGAGAAAGTGAGGAGGAGACATTTTTCTTAACACTTAAACCCATGAAATCATCCCATGAAACTGGTTGGTGGGATGTTTAGGAGAGATAAAAGAGCATGCAATTAAACTATGGAATTTGCTGCCATGTAAAGTGGTGATGGCTGCCAATCTGGATGGGTTTCAAAAGGGGATTGGACAGATTCATGGAGGAGGAGGAGGCTGTTAGTGGCCACTGGCCTGGCCGGCTGTGTGCTGCCTCCTTCAGCAGAGGTGGCCTGCCTGCATACACCAGCTGCCGAGGGGCTGGGCAGGCGGAGGTCCGGCACCCATCCTGCGTGAGGGATCCAGGGGGCAGCTGGTCTGCTGCCATGCATACAGAGTGCTGGAGTAGATGGACCTTTGGTCTGATCCCACATGGCATTTTTGTGTCATTGTGAGAAGTCACAAAAACCCAGTGAGTGACCAATCATTCTTTCTCTAACTCACCTTCCTCACAGGCATGTTTTGAAATGGGAAATGGATAACCATAAATAACCATAAATCCATAAATATGCTGCCCTGAGCACCTTGGAGAAGAGGTGGAACGCAGCCATCGCAAATGGCATGTCATTTCTTTTTCTTCTTAGGGACAAGCTCTGGGTAACTGCCCAGGAGCTCTGGCCCCGTCACTGGCATGCCCTGGGCCCTCTGTCCGGACCCATGTGCCTCGTGAGCTGTCAGAAGGGCATTCCACACGCTCCCCGTAGCAGGGCCCAGACACACAGAACGGAGCCCAGAAGGGAAGCCTTCTCAGGGACGAAACAGTAGAAGTGGGGCCTAAGCAGTAGGTGAAGAGAGGAAGCTGGACCTGAGTGCGCCTACTTCTCCCTGCAGAGGACAAAATGGCCGAGTAGTTGTGGGAGGTCTCCAAGTCCAGGGAGAGTTTTACCAGAGGGTGAGCACAGGAGCAGAAATGGAGAAGCAGGCCCCGGTGGGCCCCAGGCCACTGGAGGGACTGGAGGAGGCCGGAAGAGAGAGCTTCGCCATCCCACCTGGGGTCACCCGAGAGTTCCCACACTGGGTCGTGCCGCAGCAGGAGGGCATGCCGCATCGCCTGGACGCCCACTGGCAGGAGTTCCTCAAGGCCGTGCAGCCGCCCCGCACTGGATGGGGAAACCCACAGCTGCCAGAACTGGCCTCCTGGGATGACCTGGTCACTTTCGAGCGCGTGTTTGGTGCCTGCCAATGGCCGAGAGGCGACGGGCTGAGCCGACTCATGCCAGCCTTCAGCGCAGAAGCCCGGCAAGCGTTCAGCAGCCTGAATTCCAGGGACAAAGTAGACTACGGGAAGGTGAAGGCCATCTTCCTGCAAGGAAACTCCCCTAGCACGGAGATCCACCGCCAGCGCTTCAGGCAGTTCTGCTACCAGGAGGCTGAGGGGCCCCGTGAGGTCTGTAGCCGTCTGCGGGAACTGTGCCATTGCTGGCTGGAGCCAGAGAGCCGCACGAAAGAGCAGATCGTGGAGCTGCTGATCCTAGAGCAGTTCCTTACCATCCTGCCCCAGGAAATCCAAAGCCAGGTCAGGGAGCGCAGCCCGGAGACCTGTGCCCAAGCCGTCGCCCTGGCCGAGGGGTTCATTTTGCGGCAGCAGGAAAGCGAGCCGCAGGAGGAACAGGTGAGAAGGATGGGCTGGCGGGGAGGGAGGGTGCAGAGCACAGGCTATGGAGGGTGTCCCCCCCCACCCCCAACCCCCCCCCGTGCTATGAAATGGAATGCCCCTTCTGTGGTACCACCCAGCCATTCATATTTTGAAAATGGAAATAGGCACGCCCACTGCACAAGATCTTAGCCTTCTCCATCCTGATGCCCTCCAGATGCGACGGGACGATGCCCCCCATTGTGCATTTACGTATTCATAGTGTTTAGAGATAAGTATACAAATAGTGCATTGGAGGAAGAATATGGATTTAAGCAGTGGAAAGGCACATGGAAAACAATGGAGGACCTTCGATACTTACTTTGTTATGGCAGGAAAGAATACACCACTGGTGAACTTTTCACAAGAAACTGGAATTTTCAGATAGACCAACAGAACACTAAATTAAGGAAGAATCATATGAGGAAAATATACATGGCTGGGCTATGAAAATAAACCTAGCAATGTGAAAAGCATTGGCTAGGCTGGTTGGGGATGATAGGAAATGCAGTCCAATACATCTGGGGGGCACCAAGTTGAGGAAGGTTGCAACGCGTGTTTCCTTGTACAGTAGTGAGCTGTTTTTATTCGGCTTCCCACTGGGGTGAAGAGGAGAAAGGAAAATTCCCCACAGTGGCAGCTCTGTCATTAGGCAGAATGAAGTCGCTCCCTCAGGGCAGCACATGGACTACGGCGAGTTGCTGGTGGGCAGACAGGGCCTGCCCTGCAGCCTTCAGGGCAATGGGCAATACTGCCTTGCCAGCAGTGTGGAAGTAAGATTCAGCTGCCAGGCTTATCATGGACTGTGTGTGGAGTGGGAGGCGAGTCCCACCCTTTGCCTCAGGGACCAGAATGTCTTTCTTGGCCAGTGCCAGGTTGAGGAAGCGGTTCCAACCTTTTGACCTCCTCTTGCCCTGCTTTGAAGGCCCAAAGCTGCTCTGAGCCAATCCACCTAACCCAGTATTGGCCATTCTCGTCTGGCAGGAACCTTCTCACCCAGTTCTTCAGTATCACGTAGGGGCAGATGTACCTGAGGTCCATAAAATGGGCAACTTAGGGACAGAATGTTCCATAGATTTATTTATTTATTTAGGAGGCTTCTATGCCGCCCCATTCGCCAAAGCCTCGGGGCAGCTCACAATAATAAATAAATAAACACAATATAAAAACAATGTAATTTAGGTCGACCTGGCCAAAAATAAATAAATAAATAATATTAACAATTAAAATAACGTTTGAATAAAAAGGTCTTTGCCTGGCGCCGAAAAACAAATAATGACGGCGCCAGGCGGACCTCTCTGGGGAGCGCATTCCATAGATTGGGCACCACCGCAGAGAAAGCCCTCCTCCGAGTACTTACCCTCCTAATATCCTTCACGGAGAGTTCCCGGAGAAGGGCCTCTCCCACTGATCTCAAGGGGCGGCCGGGCATATATGGATGTAAGTGCTCCTTCAGGTAATCAGGACCCAAGCCTGGTTAAGGGCTTTATAGGTCATAACCAACACCTTGAATTGGGTGAAGTCCTTCCTCTGGATGTGAAGTCCTTCCTCTCTGCCATTGAGTACATCCTTTGCCACTGTCCCTCCTTGTGAACAAGACATTTCTTGCTGTTGTTTCAGGGTCCTGAGCCATTCCAAGAGGCGGCTGTGGACTTTTCTGAGGCACAGAGAGTTCCACTGGATGCCAGGCCGAGGCAGGCTGGCAGGGAGACCAGGAAGCAGGAGAACAGCAATGCCTGCTCACTGGGTAAGGGGGCCTTTTTCCTGAGTGACTACCCTCTCTGTCACTCCTGCACTCCATACGGCTGCAGACTGGTCCCAGCAACCCTCTGGACACACTGTGCTGGTCAAGCATCGTTGTGGGTGCTGTGGGGCTCCTGCAGCATCCTCTCTGGCCCCTTTTCAGTTCCTGCATCAATTCACAGGGTCAGGTAGTTTGGCTTAGCTACTGGGGGGCTGTCATTAAAAGCTGCTTGGGACCTTCGACTTCAGCACAGCCTGTGAGTGGCCACAGGGCTCCAGTGACACCTCCCCATGCGGCCCCACTGGCTTCCCAGTTAAGATAAGCAGATGGTAAACATTAATTTGCTCCATCAAGCTTTTTGAGACCAGACTGTACACTTGTCTGGTTGCTCTTAGCTTTATATCTATGTATTGATTTTTTATGTTTAAATTTAAATTATGTTTATGGCGGTCGTTGCAAGGTTTTATATTATTGTAAGCCACTCTGAGGGTCCAGGGCCGCAAAGCAACCTCCAAATCTAATGATAAAGGAAGCAATTCATGCATGACACGCGAAGCATTCTGTGTCTGTGTTGCCTGTGAACTCACATAATCCTTAAAATGGACAAATGTGGCCTTTGAGTTGTCTGCTCTTGGGCAGTTTTAGTGCAGGATTTAAAATCCGTGGTCATGGGCTCCCCATCGATCGCCACAGGTGTAACTGCTGCCTTGGGGGGTGGAGGGAGGAGGAGCCACCATTGCTGCCCCGCCCCCTCGGCAGTGGCCGAGGAGTGACCATGTGACCTGCTTCCTCCTCCCGCAGGTGCCAGTCTCTCGGGCAGGACTGAGGAGTCGCATGACCCCCAGGAGCCTAGGGAAGAGGAAGCACTCCCAGCCTCCGAGGGGTCCCAGAGAAAAGAGAAATCTCACCTCTGCATTGAGTGTGGCAAAAGCTTCACCCGGCCCTCCGACCTGGCTAAGCACCTGAACGTCCACACAGGAGAAAAGCCCTACCTGTGCATTGAGTGCGGGAAAAGCTTTAGCCAGCTCTCCCACCTTACGAGGCATCAGAAAATCCACTCCGGGGAGAAGCCTCACATCTGCTCCGAGTGCGGAGACACATTCAGCCAGCGGGCCTACCTGGTCAGCCATCAAAGGAGCCACTCGGGGGAGCAGCCCTACCGCTGCTCGTACTGCCAGAAATGCTTCAGCCACCAGTCAGCTCTGAAGATACACGAGCGCAACCATATGGGCCAGAAGCCCTACGCCTGTGCTGACTGTGGGAAGCGGTTTGTTTCCTCTTCCTCCCTTACCACGCACAGGAGGATCCACACGGGAGAAAAGCCCCATGCCTGTGGGGTCTGTGGGAAAAGGTTTATCCAGCATTCCAATCTTGTCTCACACCAGCGAACCCACTCCGGGGAGAAGCCCTTCTCCTGCAAGGTGTGTGGCAGGAAGTTTGCCTATCCTTCCGACCTTACGCGGCACCAAAAAATCCACACAGGAGAGAAGCCCTACCCCTGTGATGAGTGTGAGAGGAGGTTCACAAGGCTTTCTGACCTTATTACACATCAGAGAATCCACACTGGAGAAAAACCCTACCGCTGCCTCGAGTGTGGGAGACGATTCAGGCAGAGGGGAGTGCTGGTGAAACACCAGAAGTGCCATTTAAAGGAAAACCCAAAAGAGAGCACGTCTGGGCAAATGGAGGTGCAGGCAAACAGTGAGTTCCAAGTTCATGGGATCAAGCAGGAAAAAGAAGAACTGGAGAATCTGGCGGGGTCCAGCTTGATCCTGTCTCCCAGCTCTTGAGGCCTGCCCTTCACACAGAAAACATACCGAGGGGATTTCCCCCAAGCTCCTTTTCCCCTTTCCTCTGGTGTTGAGTAAAACTGGTCATGAGAGCACTTGTCCATTGCTATCTCCTGCCTGGGCTGCTACGAACACTGCAGGGTGGGCGTGGGGGCACTTGGTGGCGGCAGCTGTTCCTTCTGGAAAGAAAAGATGTGAGGAATGAATGATCGTGTTCTTTCCTCTCCACGTGGGTGAGTTTTCTGCTGCACAATAAGCTTTGAAAGAAGCAGAGTTGCTGCAATTTGCTCTGCACACAGTGATCGGGATAACCCTCTGCCAAGTAACCGCTCTGTCTTTATGGGCTGTGTAGAAATAGGAGCAGGGTTCCTTTTGAAAGAATAGCTCCCCGTCACTGTGAGAGAGAGAAGCTGAATGTCTCTGTCTGCTATGCATGTGTCCGAGGCTCAGCTGGGAAGATGATCTCTTAGTGCCCTACACTGGGGTACTGAAGAGGAAGGGAATGCAATTCTTCCATACCAGGGAAAACTTAGATGGGAACTGGGGAAAGTAGCCAGCTCATCCTAAGACCAGTGGAGCCAGGGCAATGCACAAGGCTGCCCTGTGATAATGGCATGGACTTTCTTGCATCTTCAGTTGATGGTGGTGATGGCTTCGTTGCCTTCTACTTCTCTGCATGTGTGGAAAACCCAGCAGACTGTTAATCAAGGTGGGACAGTCAGAAATCTTGTCCTAGCTTCAACCACATCCAGGGCAATTTGAACAAGGGCTGTTTAATCACCTAAGGAGTTGCCTTTTACTAAACCAAGCCATTGATATTGTCCCGTCTCACTGGCGGCAGTTCTTCCAAATCTCAGGCAGGGGTCTTGCCCAGCTACATGAAATCCTGTGATGGCAGAGACTGGATCTGAGCCTTGATACCTGCAAACGGTGGGCTTTGCTGCTGTTTTACAGCTGCTGAGTTTTGCTGGCTACAGTTCAAGTCTGAGGCTTTATGAACCACGGCAAGCAGGAAGTCCCAACTCAAACTGAGCATTGTCCCCTGCCAGCCAGCTCACACGAGGGGATTGGGCAACCCAACCTAGGCAGCTGGGAATCATATGCCTCAACATCTCAGTGTTAATGATGGAGAATGAATGACTGGAGCTGTACACTGGAGGTGGAATAGGTGGGGGCAGGAGCAGCAGTAACTGCACTTGACTTGTGCGGAGTGGGACCCTGGAGCTGGCTGGCGCTTTGTTTGGCTTCTGATCATTACAGTTTGTTTTGGTCCAGATTCTGGTGGCTTTAAAGATGGAGGCTCTCCAGTGGGAAGAGCTTGACCTACTGCACAGCTTCTGTTCAAGACCTTGGAGCCCTGCCAGGAGAGGAAAAGCAGCAAGCCAGTTTATGAAGCATTAATCCCTTAACACAGTTCTAGTTAGCATCACCATTTGAGCAGAAATATTTGGGGGCAAAGTATGGAAATTGGTAACATTAGGCAAGAGGCGAATTGTTGCTTTTGCGGGGTGGGGTAGGTTAGAGTGATATTTGTTCTGAAGTGGCAAAATATTTTTTAGAAAGAAATCATTCAGAACTTTAGTATGGAACTGACAAAAATTGTAATCGCTTTAGGCAGGGCTGTGTGTACTTTATGATTCTACAGAAGCAAGGAATATCAGGTTGAGGTGCTTCTCTTTGCATTTAAAAATTAAACTAAAAGAGTTGTTAGCATGCATCGCTGTGAAGATAAGGTAAAGCTAGTATGTGGGTGGTTCCTGGTGGGATTCTAGAAGCAAGGGACATATTCATCTGGGGAGCTGAGTTGTATCACATGTTCAGTCATCAGGGGAGACTCTGATACCTTAACATCTAACCTCTGCCTGTGATGACCACCAGCCGAAACAACTGAATTTACGGCTGTTCATAGAATTTAACTTTAGCACCAAGCTTTCAACTTACAGCACGGAGTTTACACAGCCCTACTTTTAAAGAACTTCTGGTATAAGGATTAAAATATTATCAACCTCAGATGTTTTAATAAACAAATTCCTGCTCCTATAAATTATTTGTCTGAAGCATCGTTTACATTGCGTCTGGAAGTATATGTGGCAGCTCCTGATGTGTCTCACTTCTTAAGTGTCACTGTCTCCTCCCACATCTTGGCAGTCCCTGCTCTTTAGAGATTATTTATTTATTTATTTAAAACATTTCTATGCCGCCCCCATTGCAACAAAGCCTCGGGGCGGCTCACAAAATAGGCCCGCTACATGAGGATGTAGAGGCATTTAAGAAAGCAGTTTCATTTTTAAAATAACAGTCTGTGCATGGCTTCATGAAGTCTCAGCTAAAGTTCCTTTCAGCAGAAAGAGTTTGGTGTTAGTGGTGTAACAGGTTTTTCTTTACGGGGGGGGGGGGGCTGCTGCCTCAAAACTGTTGCATGCTGACTCAGAGCTGGTGGATATAGGAGCTGTGTAGGTGAAACACCAGACTACTGGGGGGCGGGTTGTGGGGGGGATGAGGATGTGCAGCATGTACTCTCTCTTGAGACATGAATGAGGGATCCTTTACCTGTGAGAGGGCATCGGCACGGCTGACCGTGTCTGCATCAGGTTCTGCTGTATAGCTAAGGGCAGTCAGAGGCCAGACTGTTAAATTACTCATGTTTATTTATAACAGACCTTCAGCCAGTACAGTACAAAACTTAACAGTAGTATAATCTCCATTACACAAATATGTACTTACAATATATTACAGATACAAAAAAGCTTTTGCAGTAAGAGGTTTTTCTTTTTATTTAAAAGCAAGTTTAACCCCGCCCAAAAAAAGAGGGGGAAAAAGAGCGCAACACCAGCAAACCCAATTAACAATATACAAATGAAAGCTTGTTAGAAAGGAGAAAAGGATACTGTGGCAGGTTGGGGATATTGCACATCTTTTTGTTCTTCATACATCTGGTTAAAAAATATATATATTTACACAAGTTAAAGAGACCTGGAGTTTTACAAAATTCCTACATTTGTTTTTAGGCTCTTCATACAGGTGAAAGCAAAAATAACATGGAATACTGGTTTCTTAGAAATTTCAGAGCGTTATTTCTCTAAAAACAAACCTGTTTTCATTTTCACAAAAGGGGACAGCAGGAGGTAAGATGTGAAGTCCAAAACAGGATTCTTGCTCCCTGGTTCATCACAGAAGCAGGGTTAAGAGAGAGTTTAGTACCATTCCACAGTGCAGTAAATACAGTTTAATAGTGATATTCTGGACATCTTCATTTTAGCACTAGAACTCCTTAAAATGTCCATTAAAAAAATCAAAAGGTTCCTGCAGATAAGAGGTCTACTCCCCCAAAAAACAAAGTAGTAAATTAAGAAAAACATCTGAATGTGGGCTCATATGGAGGCACAAAGGGATCTTTTTTGTTTTGTTTTGTTTTTTTAGAAAAAGCAACAGTAAAAATGACACTTTAGGTGCTTTAATTTATCAGTTTGTCTGTCGAATGAAGCCAAGCACCCAAGGGCCATCTTTGGCTTTCAAGGTGTCAGTATCCAACTATGAAAGCTGATTCCCCTATTAATGTTCTGCATGTGTCAAAGTTTCATACCTGTATCAGGGAAAATTATGTAAAAATGTAACAAGGAAAATGTCACAAGCATGTTTTATTCCCTATCTCATATGCCAAAATGCTTCTACTTCTTGACAAATACATCAATATAACAAGCATATCTGGACAGCCATTCAGGCTATTTTTACACAGGTTTGATAGCAATATTAGTCTCTGTGTTGGAAAAAATGATGCATCTTCCCAGAATGTTGTCTCTTGGAGCTGGAAAGAATTCTCATCTTACATGGAAAAGGTAAAAGTACAGTGAGAATCCCCTCTAGAATTCAGAATTTTTTAAAAAGCAGATTCATAGCAAAACTCTATACTCTTGGACTGTGTACATAACACTAACCTATGAGGTTGTTAAATTCTGGGTTGTAGTGATGTGTGAATCCAGTTAACCCAGAAAGAGAACCCATGACTGGTTGGGCTATGAACTCTGGGTTTTTAAACTCATGGGTTATGTATGAATCCAGAACTGTGGGTTGTACATGAGTTGTTTCACCAGGATAAAAGATGTTAGGAAAGTGCTGTAAAAGGAGGAGGGGAAGGAGAGCCCTCAGCAACTCTACAAAACTACCAGTACTAGAGTACCACAAAGGCATTTAGGATGCAGAGAGGGAGTAGGTGAAGGAGGAGGAAACAAACAGCTCCAGGAATGAAGAAAAAACATCCACAGTTTGTTCACTGATCTCCCACTGATCTCCCAGGTAGGCCAATGAGCCATAAGTTAGCACTTTTTTGTGAACTAGGTCTTGTTATTTCTCTTTTAAGCATAATTTTTCAGAGCTCTATAAGCTGATTTATTACTTGGAAAGAAACTAGATGCAAATGTTGCTGTAGGCTTTATCTCCAGTTCTGCTTAAAGACTGGCTACATAAACACAGATTTAATTATTTCTGTCTAAGCTGCAGGGGAGGGAGGAATTACACCCTTTCCATGCAATGTTAGACAATTTGGGGGTTTGGCTAAAGAGTTTTGTAACTACCCATTTTGTTACACTTTGGTATTATGGACAAAATAATGCTTTCCAGTTAAGATAAACAGATTTTACTCCAAATCTGTTGGAGCAGAGGCCTTAAAAGGTCAAGAAAGCTTTATGTACCTGGAGGACAAGTGCTATTTGTCAGATCCTAAAGGAATACGGTCTACCCATAAAATGTGGGACTAGCTCTTGTATATCTAACCTAGATCTAAATCCACACTGAAAAGAAGCATTCACACAACTGAGTTTAGGGACTGCTATTCTCATTACTCTTTATACACAAACCTGCTTGGATCTAAAGACGTGCAAATATCATCTTGCAGAGAACTAATACCATTGTAACACTGGTGCTCAGGTGACCATTTTTAAGCCTTTCTCCAAATGCAGTTATATGAACAGGCTGTATCATGTAACTTTTGTAAGGATAATCCCAGAAATAGACTATAAGAAGAATTTAAAATACTGGCCTATTAGGCTGTCCCTGGGAAAAATATGTTGATAATTTGTTCTCAAGCAGTTTTTAAAAAACATTTCTACATACTTGCAAAATGAGCCAAAACAGTCACTGAGTGAGCAGCAAATGTTTTACTTTGGAAAACAATGATCAATTATTTTATTACATGTAATAAGTATACATTCAATATCCTACATCCTGTTTGCAGCTCTATGGACAAACTTTCCCGAGAGCCTGCCTGTGTGTTTTAAAAGTAACTGCAAAAAGAGCTCTCAAATTTTGAGGGGCACAAACAGAACACCTTGCACAACACCTTGAGTTCGTTCATTCAACATAGTTGTTATCTAACCAAACTACTGGCGGTAATCTGACCAAAGCCTTCATCTTTGTAAGATCTCTAGTAGAAAAAATTAACCTTTAGGGCAGCATAAAGATAAAACATTCAAAAGTATAATGCCTAAGGGCTGGTGTGCATGACTTTTTCCAATCACAGGAAATCATGGGGAGAATCACAGGAGACAATACCCTCCCCATGACAATGCCCAGGGCAGAACTGCCATCCACAGAGTCACCAGCGGGCAGTTTGATTCATACAACACACTTTAATAAATATCCAAGTTTGGGGAATTACTGTAGGAAAACTATGTTAAGTGAATGGATCCTTTGGATTAACAATCACAAAAAGTGTTGAATACTTTAATGTACATCAATAGGAGATATGAGTGCTTTAAAAAAATCAGAATCCTTTACTCAAAGGCTTACGAAATTTCAGAAAATTAGAAGTACAATCCTCATTGAAAACTACAAGAACTTGACTCTTAAGCCCCCCTAACATTAGCGATTTGGCAAAGTCTCCCAACATGTTTCATCTGTATTGCACAATGATAATCTATTTAATAGCCCATTCTCTCCTCATCTGCTGAAGTGACAATATACATTGCTGGGACCAGCTCAAAACATCTTTTGAGCTTATAGGATACCATTCATATGCTAGGTGAGAGAGAAGAAGGGGAAAAGTGACTTTGTACCAGAAAAGCTAAGAGCTTTTAAGAAGTGTGGTAAGACAGTGGAGTAAAACTATTAAAAAGGAGGTGTATCCCCATCCCTCCTTAAATAATTTGCAGAAAAATCCCATTTGACAAGGCCTTTCCAGTTAAGCAAGTCTGTCTGGCCTTAAAAAAAAGTATTTCACATCTCAGAAAGGAATAAAGAGGTGAACATGAGCACAATGTTGTAACTTGAGGTTCTTGTTTTTTTTTTTTTGTTTTAGTAGAAAAAGTACAGCCTTTGGTTTATCCCACAAGGAAGCAGTTTTGCTGCTGTTGAGCAAGTTTTATGCATTATGGGCGTTTACTTAAAACCATCAGCACTTTCCTCCTCACCATATCGTTTTCCCAACTAAGACTAGAAAGACAGTTTTAATAGTCATACCTTTCTGTCAGGTAAGTTTTTTTAGCAGGCTGAAGTGAAGGGCCAAGCCTTGGAGAAAGGCAAACTCCCAAGTTCTGTTGCCTCAGCATAAATGCCTTCTAACTTGGTGATTTATTTTCTCAGGAGCAAGGAGCACCCAGATTTCAACTTTGATTGGTAGGAATGACTACATAAGTGTGACAAGTGGAGTTACCACCTTGCCTATGGTCCAGTACCAGCACCAATCTTCAACCACACAAGAGAATGGATGTATCAGCCCTTCACGGTAGTCATGGTTTTAAGACACTAAAATATGCAAAGCTACTGGCCCTCTCTGGCACCTTGGGGAACCAATGTCAACCCTGGTTGGCTGGATTTTGCTAGCAGTTGCTCTGGACCAGCCTCCTCCTTGTGTCCTCCAGATGTGTAGGAATGCAACTTCCACAATTTCCAGTGAGCCACCAGGGAAATTATGGAAGTTGCAAGCCAACACTTGCAGGGGGGCGCTGGGTCAGGGAAGACCACTCTATACCTCTTGTCCTATGCTGTTACAGCAAATCAGCCTAGAAGCCATTCTCTTCTCTGCCTGGCTACAGTATGTAGCTTTCCATGGAACCACAAGTCACAGACCTTCTAGTTCATGGTTGCTAATGTCAGTTCTTGCTAAGGGGCCCCAAAAGGGCAGGCTTTCTGAGCATCATTCCATAAGGCTCCTGACTGATCTGTGCAAACAGCGGCAGGCATTACCAGCAGAAGCCAGGCTGTCAAATCTCACCTTGCTCAGTGAAAACCAGTTCTGGGAAGAATGACTGAACAGACAGATGTTAGGCGTGGGAACAACAAGAGGAAGTGGTAGGGCATGAACCGCTGGGTTCTAGCCGTTGCAGGAAACTGCTTAGCTGACCCCAAAACAATTCTCACTAGCAAGCAAGGCTGCTAAGATGACTACATAGAGGCTCGCACTGGCATCTTCCTTGCCTCTTACCTTGACAGTGACTCCTCGGAATCAGATTCTGGGCAACACCGTCATGTTTACAACTTCCTGTATGCTGAAGGAGCATGTTTTAGGGGATAGGATTCTTAGCTGAGTGACATACACCCAGCTAAGAGCTGAGGCTTATGCCTCCCAAAGCCTGCAATAAGAATGGCTCTTTAAGAGCTAAGGATGAAAGCTCAGACAGCCCTTCTGGCTGACTAACAGGGACGCCAAATATGTTCATGCAGGAGGACATCCCAGATTCTTAACAGCTCAGGAAACAGAACATAGCCGCTTGTTAATGCAAAGCATTAACATGCTAAGACTCCTTCACTGCATCCTGGAAACAGCATCTGCTTTCCTCATGCCGATCCCCAGCTGACTCTGAAAGGCAGCATGCTAGCAAACTCTTTTACAAAGTGCTCACCACCGTCCTTCATGTAGGTGGCGCTGCAGCCCCTTCATCTTCACCAGTTGCAAAATCCACCACCCCACCTTGGCCCCAAGACAGGAGAAAGCACATTTCACGTGAAAGCTGTTGCAAGCAGAAGCACAGAGGTATTGCGATCTTGGGCCCACAGGGTTCCTAGCAGGATACCTTTCCATCTCCATTTCACAGACACCCATAAAAGAGGGCATATGCGGTTCAGTCTGACATCTACCAACTCAAGCCGTGGCTTTCCTAGCCCCTTGAACGGGGGAAGTTCTATAATGTGTTAGCACCTGATCTGAGGTTCTTTATGTCTAACATGGTGCCTTGACAGAGACACCTGAACTGAAACAAAAAGAAGCCCAAATAAACTTTAAGTGGAGGAGGAGGAGGAGGAAGAGACTTAGACCTTGACAACAAGTACATTGCTGAAGTATACCAGCGCCTTACATACCCCTCAGTGGAGAGGGTCCCTGCAAAATGACTGAATGGAAAGGCTTACCAACAAACTAAAGAGAAAAATAAAGATTAATAAATAACTACATGGGAGAGAAAAGCACAAAAGAATTTTAAAACTGATTAACAGTATTTAAATAACACCGCACAGAAAAGGCAAAATGTTATGAGCTCCTCCCCATCTCAAGTTTGTTGGATTTTTTTAAAGTTAGGGTTTTTTTATATTTCTCTTTTTTAGCCAAAGTCAGTGCAAAGGAGTACAAAAGAATGGACAGTTCCATGCCTAACCAGGATGGAGTACTAGTGAGACGGAGTGTGGGACCAGAGGGAAGAGGGGGTGTGGGGCTAGCCTACCTTATGCTCCCCTCGCACTATGTGGGAGGAGAACTCGTACCGGTCTTGGCTGTGATAGCCACAGATGTTGCATTCAAAAGGGTCTCTGAAGCCGTGGCAGCCCATATGGATGGTGAACATGACGTGGTCCAAGAATAAGATCCGGCAGTGCTCACATTTGAAAGCTTTTACCTGTTCCCCATCATCATTCACCACACGCAGGGCTTCTTTGGCTGAGCTGGGAGTTGACCGAGTAGTGGTGGGGATGATGCCCTCCTGCAGTTTTGGGTCCTCTTTGGCGTAGGCCGGACTCTGCCGGCTGCTGGTGCAGTTCCCAACGCCGGGCAGCAGCGGCTGCTGTGAGCCTCTCTCCTCGTGGATGCTCTCAGTATCTGTGGAATCCTGGCAACCATTGCTAGGTGAAACCATGCTCGGCTCCCGTGATGCCCGGTATACAATCTGTGTCCCATCTGGAAGATCCTCATGGACTTCAGCAGCAGCTTCCCGGTTTCCTGCTATTTCCAGCCTGCCTGGGAGGGGCTGGATTTGAGTGTAGACAGAGCTGATGACAGGCGTGATCTCAGAGATGCAGTTTGTGGGTGGCAGTCTGAGAGGACGCAAGTGTTCTGCCCCCACGAACGAGAGGGAACCACCAAAGCTAGTGTCCATGGGATGGTGGGAAGCGACCATCTCCACGTCCTTCTCAAAGCTGGAGTTGACATCAAATGCCAAGTCGGAGAGGCCAAACCGCATCTGCTTCTCTCCTAAGGCAAAGGATAAAGAGTATCAATGGGAACATTCCTTATGCAGCCAGATGCCTATTGATGATTTTACTGTTATTGGTTCTTTGTAATAGTGTATTGTCATATTCCCCTTCATGGATCACTGCCTTGCTGTGGCGAAGGGGCTTGCACAACACAAAGAAGCTATGAGCTATGCCGTGCAGGCCCACCCAAGAGGGACAGGTCATAGCAGAGGGCTCTGACAAAACGTGATCCACTGGAGAAGGAAATGGCAACCCACTCCAGTATCTTTGCCATGAAAACCCCATGGACAAAAAGATACTGGAAACAAAAAGATATGACACCAGAAGATGAGCCCCTCAGGTCAGAAGGTGTGCAATGTACAACTAGGGAAAAGCAGTTTAGTAAGAAAGAAGCTACTGGGTCAAAGCCGAAAGGACACTCAGTTGCGGATGTATCTGGTGGTGAAAGGAAAGTCCAATGTTGTAGAGAACAATACTGCATAGGAACCTGGAATGTAAGATCTATGGATCAAGGTAAGTGGGATGTGCTCAAACATGAGATGACAAGACTGAACATCAACATCTTGGGAATCAGTGAACTAAAATGGACAGGAATGGGTGAATTTAATTCAGATGACCATCAGGTATACTAGTGCGGGCAAGAATCCCTCAGAAGAAATGGAGTAGCCGTCATAGTCAATAAAAGAGTAGGAAAAGCAGTACTAGGATATAATCTCCAAAATGACAGAATGATCTCAGTTCATATCCAAGGCAAACCATTCAACATCACAGTAGTCCAAGTCTATGCCCCAACCACTGTTGCTGAAGAGGCTGAAGTTGACCAGTTCTATGAAGACCTACAACACATTCTAGAAATAACACCAAATAATGATGTCCTTATCATCATGGGGGATTGGAATGCTAAAGTAGGAGGTCAAAAGATAACCGGAATAATAGGCAAGTTTGGTCTTGGAGTACAAAATGAAGCAGGACAAAGGCTGGCAGAATTTTGTCAAGAGAACACTCTGGTCATAGCAAACACTCTTTTCCAACAATCCAAGAGACAACTCTACACATGGACATCACCAGATGGTCAACACAGAAATCAGACTGATTATGTGTTCTGCAGCCAAAGATGGAGAAGCTCTATACAGTCAGTAAAAACACGACCAGGAGCTGACTATGGCTCAGATCATGAGCTTCTTGTTGCAACATTCTGGCTTAAATTGAAGAAAGTAGGGAAAAGCACTAGGCCACTCAGGTATGACCGAAATCATATTCCTTACAGTGGAGGTGACAAATAGATTTAAGGAATTAGATCTGATAGGCAGAGTGCCTGAAGAACTATGGACAGAGGTTTACAACACTGTACAGGAGGTGGCAACAAAAAGAAAAGAAAAGTCAAATAGCTGTCTGAGGAAGTTTTACAAATAGCTGAGGAAAGAAGGGAAGCAAAAGGCAAGGGAGAAAGGGAAAGATACACCCAACTGAATGCAGAATTCCAGAGAAGAGCTAGAAGAGATGAGAAGGTCTACTTAAAAGAACAGTGCAAAGAAATAGAGGAAAACAATAGAATGGGAAAAACTAGAGAACTCTTCAAGAAAATTGGAGATATGAAGAGAACATTTCATGCAAAGATGGGCATGCTAAAGGACAAAAATGGCAGGGACCTAACAGAAGCAGAAGAGATTAAGAAGAGGTGGCAAGATTACACAGAAGAACTATACAAGAAAGATCTTAATGTCCCTGATAACCATGTTGGGGTGGCTGCTGACCTCGAGCCAGACATCCTGGAATGTGAAGTCAAATGGGTCTTAGGAAGTCTTGGCAACATCAAAGCTAGTGGAGGAGACAGTATTCCAGCTGAGCTATTCAAACTCCTAAAAGACAATGCACGAAATATGCCAGCAAATATGGAAAACTCAACAGTGGCCACAGAATTGGAAAAGGTCAGTTTACATTCCAATTCCAAAGAAGGGCAATGCCAAAGATTGTTCAAACTACCGCACCATTGCACTCATTTCACATGCTAGCAAAGTTATGCTCAAAATCCTACAAGCTAGGCTCCAGCGGTATGTGGACCGAGAACTACCAGAAGTACAGGCAGGGTTTCGAAGAGGCAGAGGAACCAGAGGTCAAATTGCCAACATACACTGGATCATGGAGAAAGCTAAGGAGTTCCAGAAAAACATCTACTTCTGCTTCATTGACTATGCTAAAGCCTTTGATTGTGTGGATCACAACAAATTGTGGCAAGTTCTTAAAGAGATGGGAGTACCAGAACATCTTATTTGTCTCTTGAGAAACCTGTATATGGGTCAAGAAGCAACAGTGAGAACTGGACATGGAACCACTAATTGGTTCAAAATTGAGAAAGGAGTATGGCAAGGTTGTATATTGGCACCTGCCTTAAATGCAGAGCACATCATGTGAAAGGCCGGGCTAGATGAATCACAAGTCAGAATTAAGAATGCCGGGAGAAATATCAACAACCTCAGATATGCAGATGATACCACTTCAATGGCAGAAAGCGAAGAGGAACTAAAGAGCCTCTTGATGAGGGTGAAGGAGGAGAGCGCAAAAGTTGGCTTGAAACTCAACATTAAGAAAACTAAGATCATGGCATCCAGTCCTATCACTTCCTAGCAAATAGATGGGAAAGAAATGGAGGTAGAGACAGATTTTATTTTCCTGGGCTCCAGGATCACCGCAGATGGGGACTGCAGCCAAGAAATCAGAAGACGCTTGCTCCTGGGGAGGAAAGCTATGGCAAATCTAGACAGCATACTAAAAAGCAGAGACATCACCCTGCTGACAAAAGTTCGTATAGTCAAAGCTATGGTTTTCCCAGTTGCAATTTATGGCTGTGAAAGTTGGACCATAAGGAAGGCTGAGCACCAAAGAATTGAGGCCTTTGAATTCAGGTGCTGGAGAAGACTCTTGAGAATCCCTTGGACTGCAAAGAGATCAAACCAGTCAATCTTAAAGGAAATCAACCCTGACTGCTCTTTAGAAGGCCAGATACTGAAGATGAAACTCAAATACTTTGGCCTTCTAATGAGAAGCAGTAACTCACTGGAGAAGACCCTAATGCTGGGAATGATTGACGACAAGAAGAGAAGGGGATGGCAGAGGACGAGGTGGCTAGATGGAGTCACTGGGGCAGTGGGTGTGGACTTAGGTGGACTCTGAGGGATGGTGGAGGACAGGAGAGCCTGGAGGAATGTTGTCCATTTGGTCATGACGGGTTGTGCATGACTTTGTGACAAAACAACAAATTGTCATATTGCATTTTGTATTGTTTTAGGTTGTTGTGGATTTTAATGATAAATATTGCAAGGCAACCAGAATAGGTGGGACCAGAACCCTTGGTCTGGTAATCACAACATGGTCATCAAGTTCGAGCATGGCAGTAGCTGCCACTGTGCTACCAGGAGTGGGATTCCACATCCAGTCGCATTCCTAGGCTCTGGCAGGGAGGACTGTGCAAGCGACTGTGGGTTGAGAACTCAGGACCGGACAGAACACAGAGGAACACTCAAGACAGTTCATGGCACAGGGGCGGGCAACTAGATGTTCTGGCCCACAGCTTCCATCAGCCCTGGCCAGTATATCCAATGGTGAGGAATATGGGAGTTGTAGGTCAGAAGAGAAGCTGCCCCCCTTTGCTACAATACACCAGTTGTCAACAGTCGAGAGCCCTATCATCTTGTCATCATTTGCCCAGAACTGGGGAGAAGCGCCTTACCCACAAATTTTTGAGGTGTGGAGCGTTTTCGTTTGGTGATGCTGTTTGCCAGTCGGTCAATGAAGGTTGGCCGGTCGGCTGAGGAGTGAAGCATGGAGTCCGGCACCATCTCCAAATCTCGCATCTCGTCACCTGGTAAGGAAGCAAATACGGGCTTTAGTTTTGGCTGCCTACAGCCAGTGTGGTGTGGTGGTGAGAGAGTTGGACTGGGCACCCGGGAGATCCAAAATCTAGTCCCCACTCAGCCATGGAGCTCACTGGTGACTTGGACCAGTCACAGACTCTCAGCACAACCTACCTTACAGGACCATTGTTGTGAGGATGAAATGGAGTCATGTAAGCTGCCTTGAGTTCCTCACAAGCGGAAGAAAAGCAGGATGTAAATGGAACGCTGTTGTTGTCAACGTCTTGTCCCATCCCTTTTAGGGGCCTGGACCATGTTATGAAATCAGCATGTGGCAAGTGTCTTGAGGAGGCAGAAAAAGGCGCCATGCAAAACTGACAGGGATGCAACTACCCCTAATGCTAACTTGGACCCAACCCATCTGGATTCTATTCTCCTGGCTCATCCCTAGGCGCCAGCCCCCACAAAACCCCAATTTTCACCTATCTTAGAAACAGCATTCCAGTTTCCACTACCTAGCTGGTGACTTCTCCCAAACAGACAATGTAATGCTCGGCAGTAACTATAACCCTAGACCAGGAGGGAGGGCAAAGGTGGCACAAAGTGGCGGTGCCGTGCCAACTAGGACAGGGGCTTTGCATTGCAGTTGCCAACCTAGACTGTGCCACCCACACCGATCCTGCTCATCTGTTTGGATATTTGCACAGCTGTGAAGGTCTTGTCTGACGACACATGCCTCAGGCTTGGCTGGCTCAGTCTGGCAGCAGACTTACCTTGCTGGCCAGCCAGCGACTGTGGTTCAGTGTTAAGACTCTGCAGGTAGTTGTGACAGCGTTCCTTGTGCTCTTCCAACGTGCTTTGCTGCTTATAGCTGCGGCCACAATAGTTACATTTGTAGGGCTTGCCAACTGTGGGCGAGGAGACTGGAGCGGAAACAAAACCAAGACAGGGTACCGTAAGAAGGTTTGTGCAGTTCCTGAACCATCGCAGCAATCTTTTGAGTCAGCAAGGACCGGGAAGGGTAGACAGCCTGCCTGCAGCCGGAACAATGGAAAGAGACAGGCACAAACTGATACTTGCCTAAGAGCTACCTTTAAAAAAGACCTCTGCAAACAGCTTGGTCGCTCTTCTCCTCTCACTTTTTCCACTGGGAAAATGTGAGGAAAAAATTCTCTGTCCTGCTCAGTCTATACCCTTGTCCCCCTCTCTAGGAAGGTACTCAGGAAAGGCAACAAAAAAAATTTTTTTTGAGTCTTAAAAATATGCATACATGGATCTGTATAAAATGCATACCATTTCCTAGGAATTCTATAATGGTCTGAGCAAAAGCAAACTGAATATGCAAATAATGACATGTTGTTGCAAACCTGTGACTGTAGTTTTTCAAGTGGTTGCCTGCTCAGAGCCTCAATTTGGGAAGCTTCCGTAGCAGAGGAATTTTTGGCAGGAACCCTCTGCCACTCGGGTATCACGCACGTCTCCAAGGTGTTCCCACTCATTCCATTACTTCCCAGAGACCACCTAGTGTGGCCTCAGAACTAAAATCTAAGTACTACTTTGGTACAAAGATCAGCACCCATATGGTACTGAGAGAAGTTAAATGCATACTTCAGTACAGGAAAAAAAACGACATGCACACCTACATTCTTCTTCACTGTACAAAACAATGTCGCTTTGATATCAACACCAAGCGGGGATGGGGAGTGGGTTGTGTGAATGCAGAGATGACCACTTGAAGAAGAACAGATACAGGGAAGCGACATGTTCTTCTTCATGGTCTTGGTGCATCATACATGAGAGCCAGTGTGGTGTGGTGGTTAAGAGCGTGGGACTGGGACTCAGACGAGCTGGGTTCTAGTTCCCGCTCAGCCATGGAGCCAACTGGGTGACTGGGCCAGTCACAGACTCTCAGCCCAACCTCCCTCACAGGGTTGTTGTTGTGGGGATAAGATGGAGGAGGAGATGTAAGCTGCCTTGAGCCCCTTGTAGAAAAAAGGCAGGATATAAATTGAAAAATAAAAAAATAAAATAAAATACATGTGGGGAACTGGCAAACTGCCTTACCTATGGTGAGCTGGAGTGTTCCACAGACTGTCAAAGGTAGGACTGACTGTCCGAAAGAGCTCATCTTCCCTTACTAGCCAAATGATGCCAAATGAAGGTGGATGGCATCACCCATATAGAGGCCTGTGACAGTTCCACCAACGTCACCTCCTGCCCAGAGGTGAGCAGTGGGCTTGGACTGTTCCTTTAAGCTCAAGGCCAGTAAGCCAGCATGCCAGCAGGACTGTCTGTAGGATCCAGGAGAGAAGAGACTGATAGGCCCCTTCATTGCCTCCCGCAGCAGATGAAGAGACATGGAGTCTTTTGAAAATATGCTGTCTGCGCCTTGTAGGAAGCTTGGGTCAGTCTCAAGTCATGCACAGGCAGAGATTTCTAAGGGAGAAGCAGGAGATGGGAAAAAGGCAGGCAAGGCAATGGCCTGATTTAGATGGAAATCTAAAGCACCTTTGGTAGGAAAGTTAGATCAGGTCATAGTACTACCATGACTATACATAATAATATATGAAGAATCAGCTCTGAAGGCACAAAGCTCACCAGATCATTACAGCCACCAAAAAGCTATCCTTCAGGATAGCAAGCACAAGTCCACTGTCACTGGAGATTCAAAGGGTTTGGAAGCAAGTGCTTTGAGTACTCAGGCTCTGTTGAGTCAGGACAGACTTTCCAAGCTCCCTGAAGAAATTAGTTCATTACTGGGTATTAATCAATCAGGGACAGAAAAACAATTAGCTGGGAGATGAGAAGTGGATATAGCAGTGAGATATATCTTGAAAGAGGAAAGGCTTAAACCTGGTTGAAAAAGCAAGAGCAGGAAAGGCAAAACATGTTGAACAAAAGCTCTAAACCCTTAAGAAATAAAGTGGAAAATGACTTCCACTTGGTTTGGTGAGCTTTGGATCATTGCCTCAAAAGTTGGTGGTTGGTGAAAAAGCCAAGCCTCTATGCTCTTAGCTTGAGAGTTTGGAAGTCCAGATGTCAAATCTGTGTTCAATGTCAGTACAGCTGGGGTGAGTGCAAGTCAATAAAACTGTCCCTTTCAGCTATGCGAAAAAGGGGCAAATCTTGGTCCCCTCAGCCACAATGATGCAATGAAGTCCATATTGTTCTCCAGTATTTTCTTCAGGACTTTCATCAAGAAAGAAAATAGGGGAAATACATAAAAGACTTCCTGTCCATTGCTGGAGAAAAGCATCCCCTAAGGAAGCAGCGCCTACTTCCATTCAGGTGTAACACAGGTGACAGGCTGTGTTTTCTGGAGTGACAAACAAGTTGATAAACAGAGTTTATCACTGGAAGAAGGAAGCTCTGACATTTACATCTAGTCTCCACTTGTGAAAAACTAATAGGAGCAGTTGAGAGAGTCCATAAGGAAACTGTCTGTACCAGCAATACAAAAGTAGAAGTGCAATCTTCCTCCAGATCAGGCAATTCTGTACGTTGATCATGAGATGCTTTAGATGTAGAGAACATATGCCTCCCTGTTTGTTTATATGCCATATGATTATCGTATTTCAGTGATGATCCAGTGTAATGGGGCAGAAGGGCTGACGTGAAAGAGTGTAATGCTTGTCGGACACTGAAATAACTCCAAGGAGTTGATGTGATGCTGTCTCTCTACATTGGACCAAACGCCCTGAATGCTCATCATACTGCAGTAAGCATCCCACCCAAGAAGACAAGCATCTACTGCGATTGCTCCAGTGGGTGATGGTTGCATGAATGGGATTCCATTCTGAAGCTGCATTGAATTGTCCACCAATGAAGGAGGCCTGAACCCCTTGTGGAAGCTGCAACTCAATCCAATGGGCATTGGTGTTTGGGCAGAGAGCTCTGATGAACCAATCCTGGAGTGGACTCTTTCTGAGACATGCAAATCAGACCACTGCCACAGATGCTGCTATCAGCCTCAAATGGTTCTGGATGGTGGAGGCGCATCAGAGTTTGGGACAGCACCTTCCTTGCCAAGCTGGTAAGATATGCAGGCCATCCTTTTGTACATGAGCTCGACCAGAGAAAGCATCCAGCATAGGTCTGATGAACAGTCTGTGCAAGAGCCAGCTTTAAGTCTTCCATGTTGACACAGAGACCCTATTTGAGTTAAAAGTCTACTGCAACTGCAATAAGCAGCTCAGTTCTCAATTGTGCCACCAGCAAGCACTCCTCAAGATATACATATATTTGTGTATGGGGAAGGCAGATGTAAGTGCCATACAACTGGTGGAAACCTGTGGTGTTCTCACAAGGATAATGGGAGGACTTGAAACTGGTAAGCTTCTGAGGAACTGGAGGAACTACTGATATGAGTCCTTGAGGACAATCTGGAAATATGTGTCCTTGAAATTAATGCAGGTGAACCGCTAAACTACATGTGAAAAGGGGGGAAATTGAAGATAAAGTTCCCATCCTGAGTTTTCCAGTGGTAATAAAGACATTAACATCCTGAAAATCCCAAACTGGATGAAGTCCTCCATCTTTTCTCAGCACCTAAAACAGTGAGAACAGGAGCCACTGTTGAGTTGGTGAGGAGGAATATGACACAGGTGATAGCACTATTGAATGGATGTCAGAAAAAGGAGGTAAGCTATCAAATTCAATTCTCTATTATCAAAAGCTCCCAGGATTCAGCTGCAACTGAAGTCTGCACAAAAATAAAGGTTGACACTGAGATCCAAAGATGGCGTGACAAGCAGAAAGATGAATGAGAATGGGGAACTCAAATGAGCCATTTGCTGAAGGAGTTGCCTTTCCTCCGATTTTGATGGTTCTGGGGAGGGAGATATTGTGGCTTTGAAGTAAAAGATTGGGGATGACCGTCTTGTCATGTTTGGCCAAATGAATGGACAACAGGACCAGTAATGTCAATACAGACTGGAACTCAGTTTGTTTAATCCTACTCTCCTTGCAGAATGTTTGGTTTTCTGTGGGAAATCTCCAAAGCACATGGAGGATGAGCATGGGCCCTTCTTACCCCCATGGAAAACATCTGACCAGCAGACACATGTACAAGGATGTTGCCTACTCAAACACTCACTGCTCCAGCCAGATCAGTGTGAGCCATTTCTGGAAGGTACAGATACAAAACAAAAGCACAGACACAGAACAAAAAGAATTGTAACCATCAGTAGGAGCAGCAATTTACATTATATGTCTAACTTTGCTGCACCAGCTGTGGCACATGAAACCACCAGTTGGGAACATTTTGTGCAGCGGTAATATGATTTGGCAGGATGCAGCTATAGTTTAAGCTTCAAGCAATTGTTTATTGAAGAAGAAACGTTAGCGCGTTATTAGAGAAGCAGTGTCTAGGGCAATACCCAGTTACTGAAACGTACTCTTCAATCATCTCACCTAAGTGATGCACAGTGCTTCTCCAGCACTGAAGGTTCATGTGTTGCATCTTTGCCTCGTGACTTGCTTAGAGAGAACATTTGTAAAACAGGAATAAGAGTGACTTGCACATAGGGTTTTTGTGAGGTCAAAGAGAGTAACTGGTTAAGAGCAGGGGGGTGTCCTTAGTTTAAAATCCTGCAGGGAAACTGAGAAAAGCGCAGGAAGCCGAACTCATTGGCAAACTAACACCTTCCAGGCTCATAGTCCAGAGAAGGCTTCCCTCAGGAGCCTCCAACAGATAAAAGGCCTCCTGTATGTTCCATTGCATCAACTGGCAGAGGAGGGATGGCAAACTGCTTAACCCAGCCCTGGGGGAGGTGCCAATAAGGTAATCTGTACGCCCTGTCAGAAATCAGAATCCCCAAATCACCAGCTATTTAGATACCAACAGCTCGAACCCAGGACTCCATCATTCTATGCTGCTGTTCTCAGCTAGGTAGTTGCTCCTTGAAAACTGTTCTTTTAATGA